ATCCCTATTACATGGACTCAATAAGAATCGGGGAAGTCCCTTTAATTGAATATACAGGCCAGCCCTCTCCCTCTTTACTAGGGGAGTTGCTACAAAATCTTGGGAGGAGTCCAAGTCCCAGTCTTTAATCTTCTCTTTCAATGTGCTAATAAATTCTTTCTCTTTAAAATATTTCTTTTATCATGGTCTTAGTTTATACAGTTCTTAAATGTTTATGCTAGCTTATCCCAGTTGTTATTTATATTGATTACTTCTACGAGTGGGTTTTTAGTAATAAACCATTTTCTTCATAGATAATGGAAACATTTACTACGAAATTAAATACCACTACACAGCAGGGAGTAGATACAGAGGCCATACGTCACAAAGAGTGTTCCATATCAGGTTGAACATCATTATACAATTACTGTTAACATGATTATATGAATCACGATGTTAGCGGTTGATTCTACACGGGAAGTGGCCCGATTTACTGACAACCTTCAAATTATCAGACGTCACAAAACCCCCGGTACTTTCGAGGATTCTCAGATGTCAGGTCACAGAGATGAGGTTTTCATGTCAATAAATCTTCAGATATCAAGACTTCTGTTCCAATAATTCATCTGGCAGGATTATGAAACATGAACTTCACCTTAATCAAAGTCAGGTGCGGATCCAGTGAGATTGGCATTCTATAGACGAGTTGTGAGCTTTTGACCTAAAAAACTTCAGAGTTTAGTCCTATGTGGTACAGTATAGTAAGCCTCTGTGATGTCTATTATGTGGGGCCAATATTCAATATAATACTGGATCATATTTTGCAAAGCATTTTCATCATAAAAATGTACAAAAATGTTGCATCATTTTTAATTTATTGCCTTCACATGTTAACGAAATTTCAATGGACATTTCGTGTTTGATGTCTAATGATTATTATGATTCCTATTATCTTATGTCTTATTTGGTATTTAGGCATTTTTATACCAAACTGATGGAGGTACCGAGCAATTTGTTTCGACCAATTACTGATCATTCTGTACTCGAAAATTTCAAAAATTGAACAACATTTATCACTTAATTTGGCATGAGATACATGATAATGCTAGTCGTCTCATTAAGCACAAACCTGTTAATTATTTCTCGAACATTTGAATTGATATGAAGGGGTTGATTCTGTATTGAATTCAAACTTTGTCGTTTTTTTTTTTTTAAACTTCGATTTTTATTTCTCCTTTTCAAATGTGAACGTATCTTTTAATATTTCATAATATCGAAACTCTTAAATCAAAATTGTTACACGAGAACTTTAAACCTACAGTGTTTCTGTTCGACAAAAAGAGGGGGTGATGATAAAGAGAGAGGGAGGGGGAGAGAGAGAGAGCGTGAGACAGAGAGGATGTTGTTTGTTTTCTAGATAGGGGCCTACATGTACATCTTTTCCCTTCAGGCACTATTGTCAACTTGAATTAAAGGAAATCCAAGTGTAAATTAATATCTTCCTCCTGCCATTAAAGACTTAATTGCGCAAATTAACACACACACTTGAAAGGAACATTTAAAGAGAGATAGATTTTAACTTCTGTTGGCCAATCTGAGACTTTTGATTAACCCCTGTCTTCTCGAAACCAAGTCGATATTGTTGGTTAATAGCAAGAACCAAATAGGTCAGGGGGCAAAGGATTAAACAAATTTAAGTGCCAAGAGATGTCATTAGCTATGGGGAGAGTTCAATAATTAAGTGACGGGCATACAGTACAGCCGGACACACGGGCGGCAGGGGGCGATTCCCCTATATTTGCCAAACAAGCAGCCCAATAATGACACTTTTTCTTCCCTTTTTCGCTTGTCAGAGATTTGGCAAACAAACACCGTCTCCGAGACAGATTTTTTCCTTCTTGCTGTTGGTTTTGTCTGTTTGTTCGCTTTGTTTGTCAGAGGTTTTGAAACCTGTGTCCTTTCTATTCTTGCCGCCCCTGGGCGAACAGGTTTAATTCAATTGAAATAGATTATTGTGAGGTACTTTCCTAGGATGAGCCAGAATATTTCTCAATAATTACATCACTCGTCTTCACTCATGTCCAACCACGGGTTAATGACTTCTTCCCCTCCTCAGTGAATGAAGTTATAAAGGTGTCGACTTCGGTGTTGACCATGTGCTCGGTGTATACAGTGTCCCAGCAAAATACATCGGGGGCATTTACCCGCTCGCTCCAGGAATTATCATACGCATGTTTTCATGACAAGACAGCTAGTTCAGATCATATTTTTGTTCTATGAACGCATTAAGGGGTTCAAAGGACGGAACTGATTAAACAACCTTATCATAATCATAACCATCCACTGATTACATAATAAATTATTAGGATACACCCTCGTGTTCCGTTGGAAGACCTTCTGAATTCAGATCATATTTTTGTTCTATGAATGCATTTTAGGGGTTCAATAGACGGAACTGATTTATTAAACGACCCAATCATAACCATCCACTGATTATATAATAAATTATTAGGATACACCCATGTGTTCCGTTGGAAGACCTTCTGAATTATATCAGCTAATAAGAATAATCAAAGCTTACGCAAATCCGACAAGGTGGGGCTTTATTAGATCATAATCTATACTCAATGTTTTTCAGACTACTAAAAATACAGCTCGCGTTCTTTTAATGCTTCCCGTTTGTTAACAAATCACGATTGTTTACAAATTAGACCCAGATGGTGAAATAAACAAACAGTATGACTGGCAATATTGGTGAAATATGAAGGGGGTCTAAATGGTCTTTATACTCTTTACAGTCTTAAGATGTAATAATGATAAATATCCATCCCTCCCTTGTCCTTACTCTCTTTAAAAAAAAAGAGCGATTTTTCACTCTATTTTCACTTTCTTGGGAGTGACGTCCGTGATCACTTGTTTAGGAGTGAAAATCGATTGATTTTAGAGTGCTCTCTAAGAAGAAAAGAGTGAATGTTCACTCTATTTTCACTACATTTTCACTCTCCAGAGGAGTGACGTCCGTGATCACTCGATTTTTTTTAGAGAGTAACATGTTGTGATTTGTTTTGGCTGATTGCTATAGAATATGTAGATGCTTTCCATGAGAGAGAGCATTTTAAACTCAGTATTAATTTCATAGAAAATTCAACGTCTGCATGCGTTAATATTAGGGACTTTTAGATTTGCACGAAGGAGACCATGGACTGCCTTTTTAAGGCAATGTGACGTCACTGCCAGTGCCTTAAACGGACGTCACATTACCTTAAAAGGGCAGTCCACGTTCTCCGTCGTGCAAATCTAAAAGTCCCTAATAATGCATGACTGTCGGTGTCACCTATAGGTTCGGGTACGCTTTATCAAGACTAACTGTAGATCCTCAGCTCAGGATTTTCAATCAGCGAGTAATGATTCCACTCTGATTCACACATTCAGGATTATCTTGTGAAAAGTTTCTAAAAAACTCAAGCACTTCCGTTCAAAATATTACTAGGCTAAAGTTCCTCGCATGTTATTTTATCTTAATTTGTTTTGCTTCTCAGTATACATTATCTGTATTTAGATGTAGCTGCCAGTGTCAATTTTTGTGTGTGTGAGCTGTCTTATCATTCACGCATTATCATTTCGTGATTTGTTCTTTAAATTTCTATAAATTTTGAATTCAAATTTTTGATATTGAATAATTTTATTCATTTTACTCCTATGAGTGGTACAATTTGCATCTTTTGTATTCACGTTATTCGCCATGTTAACGAGAATGATACGTGTGAATTAGCATCATGTGTTCACGTATGTACATAGTCAAAGACAGAGGCGTATCCAGCACAGAGCAAAGGCGTCGCCCCCCTCCCTTGGCTTGAAGGCACAGGTGACAAAATCATTCTGTCCTACAGCACGGGGGCCTACCACACCTCTCCGTCTGGGGATGATTACTCCATAATACGCCCCATTTCCTATTAACCCATAATCTGGATACACCACTAAGAGGGATGGGGGGGGGGGGGGCATATTTCTAGTTTTCTCGAGATACAATGAATTTGATTTGAATGTCAAAAGTATGACGAAGTACATTCTGTATGTTTATATCATCGCATGGTTTATGATTGTTTCTCAGGTCGTTTCTTGCTCTCAGCCTCTCACCTATATATTCCTTTCTACTTATAATCTGAGATTTAGGTTAAATTCAAATGTAAAGCTTTGTTGGTTTATCGACATTTGTGACCTACTTATTGCTTGGTGTTTTTTTAAACAGTCTGCACGTGCAACATCGGTACGTCTATCCGCATAGTATGCATTTGACTCGAAATGTATCCTGCATAATAATGAACTTGTCTCGAAATATATAATAAGATTATGCGAATAGGGACAAACAATGACATATCCATCAAATATGATATTAAAATTACATGTCTTTTAAACGAGAATTATTACAAACCATAACTTTGCAACAAAAAAAGTACCCAAGTTAAAATCAAATATATTCCTTAGAACGGTGCAAGCTGAACTTCCTAATCTACAAGTTACAATATGGCCCTATAATATATGATTATAATTATCCAAAATTCCTACACAACCTACATTAATTCTATTTATAGACTATATCATGACATGTTTGATTATTTTCCTCCGCAAAATATGATTTACTAGCTCAATGCACATATTTCAGTGCTCTAGAAATTTCAAAATGTTATAATGTGAATTGGGATCCAAGATACAACAATCCGTTAACCACGCAAAGAGACATAAGGCAATGAATATACGGATTATCGAATGCACCATGTATATTGCCTGATGTCGCATAATAATTATGCGTGTGTGGCTACATGTATATTGCGTTTGATTAATAATATGTTAATGATGTGCAGATTGAATGTTACCTGTTGGGTATACTTCATAGACTGTAAGTTGTTACTACATAACTTACAATGACGAGACAATAATTCACTCTGAAGTATAATACAAATAACAAACACAATGTTACAACATTTTCTTTAGAAGAAGAAAGAAAGACAAGCTACACTTACTTGAGTAGGGTTCCTCATAGTAGACCGATTCGGCAAAAGAAAATCCAGCGATCGACATACTGGTATAGTCGTATTCCGGCTTCGCCACCTTGATGAAAAATTGTTAAAAATGATTCGCTCGCCCACGGAATGACGATAAATAATATTGTCTTACGACGATTCTAATACTGAAAATCAGTTGTTTTTGAGTTAGTAGTAATTCAAGTGCAGTTGTTCACTTCCCTGCCCTGTCGAGAATCCTTGAAGGAGAAGTATTTCAAATTGATACAAATGGCAGACGATTCCTCATCATCATCGGCGTAAGAGGAAGCTCCTCACGATCTCATCCAGGAAATCCTCCTCCGAGTGGATCAAGAGAAGGAAGCCGATTTCGTCAAACCAGTTGGCATATCTCTCTTTTTCCCCACCCTCCCGGCATCAATGCAATTCCAGTGGATATAATATTGTACGTATATACCTCCATGCAAGGTATATTCCCTGCCCTGCCTCGCTAGCTCAGCTCTCAGACGAATTAGAATTTGTACAATACAATCAATTCACACTATACAGCTTCGCTACTCCTGATGCATGTTGGGAAGACCCTATGGCACGGCTCAACGGTCACAAACGAACACGGAGTAACAAAAGAACGCAGAGAGCTCGGGTGTTTATTATGCAAATCTCATGTCAATAATAAATAGCCCGTCTGACTAATACAGCTATTCTTTGCTCTTCGTCTGATTCAACAAGCATTCCAAGTGGATGAACGTTGCCGATTTGATCATTAGTAAGGATTTCCGCCATCCATTCAGCGGCCGTTTATTCCTGTAAAATCAACATAAAAAAGGTGCCAAAATATTATAACATAATAACAACAATGATTATTATCTTTAAACAATATGAGCAAAATGTCAAAATGAAAGAAAAATGATCCGACTGTATACAACTGAATCAAAAATACTGAGTGATAAATGCTTTATACTGAATAATGCTTTGTGAATAACACACTGAAGGCTATTAATAATCACAAAACATGTGATTTCTTTCGGTTGAAAGGATGCCTCACTTCAGTCACTTGTGACGTCACTCGTGATGTATGACGACGGAGTGTTCACATCGCGAAATAAAAATGAAGTTATTTTTTGGTGTCATCTACACACTATATAGTAGACCGGGTCAACCCTAAAGTACACTTTTTGCTATAACGGTGGCGTATCCAGCATAGGATGGATCTGGCGTGCACCCCCCCCCCCTCCCCTCCTCAGTGAAGGCATAGTCATTAACTATTTGCAGGTGTCCAAGATCTCTAGATAGTAGATACATTCCGAATTTTCCGACGCCCCCATTGAAGGGGACTCCGTCTCCTGGATATACGCCACTGCATAATTAAAAAAAAAAACCTGATAGCAAGGGAACGTCGATGAAATCATGAGAGTAAATACATTAATCATTCTCGAAATGAATATCATTTTGTGATAGAGAGGGGTATATCATTATCAAGAAATCATGCATATTAAACAAGTTTGAAGTGGTAGATAGGTATTTCATTGTAATACATTTCTGGACGAACTGATAAACTCAAATTTTAAAAAGCAAGATTTCATCATTGCAAAATGATCTAGACTCAAAACGAACAGACCTATAAGACAGTATAGAGCGAGTATATTTCTTTGCTGCATATTATATAAAACAAAAGGAAAACACGATCACTTGCTCATTATTTGTGCAAAAGGATCTTTTAAAAATCTAGCTTATACCAACAACACCAAGACATTCAATAATACCCCCATCATACCGCGGCAGTGTGGACGAACCCACCCCATCCACACACTCTACAAAGGGCATCAGGAGCGGTTTGTACTCATCGGAGGTGATTGACGACATTAGAAGGTAAACGAGTGGGGCTGAACGATAACGTCTTCGTGTTCTCAACGATGATAATGAGTGTCACGGCCAGGATCATAAATGGTTATCAAAATAAGAGGTCTGACGTCTGAAAATTATGACAGGTTCTATCTTCAACTTTTTTTTTGTACAACAAGACGAGACAAGAAAATTGATGAGCATAGGTCTTGGCATGTACACAATGTTAACAGAACCTACCAGGTGCGCCAAATCACATTGACCCTATTTCCCTTTCTGCATCCCCAGTGTATACATATTTTAATATTTTATAATTATTTTAATGAAATAATAAGCCGAATTTCATGAGGCGGTAGGTGAAGGATATTGGTGAGTCAAAGTTTGTTGAAAAATAAATTGGCCGTCATCACTGCTGTCTTTAATAGGCGGGTCTAGATTTATGATTCAATAGGGCAATAATCAATATCAATTATTATACCAAAAGAGGTAGAGGAAGATTTAAGATTTTAAGATGTTCCTATGATTTGAAAAACAAAATAAAACCATGATTCCAGATTTCGATCCACAATACGAAAGATCTGAACAAAATGGATCAAATTAAAAATGATCTTGGACTAAAGAAAATAAAAATTTAACGTCATGTCTGGTTTGGGTTTTAATTTTTATTAATAATACCAGTCAGTGATAATAACTGAATTCCTGATCTGGTTTCAGACTTGCAGCTTTCCCCGATAGTAAACTCAACTGATGCTAAAAGTTTCTCTCATGTCCTTCATCCACATTTAGGCACTTCATAAAAAAATAAAAGAGTTTTCAATTTTTCATGGTCAGTCAGAAGCGAGCTTGTTTTGACCGCTCGTCTTGAAGAGCGGAAAGAGTCTTGGCAACAATCTTTAGACATGCTGTTACATATTTCCACAACAATATACACACTATACCGTGACTTAAAGGTAGCCTACTATGTTCCATTTACAGGCCCAAAAAATGAAAAGGTAAAATTCCAATGTCATTTGAAATTAGAACTTCCCTCAAAACGAAAAGGCTTGAAAATGGCTTTTATAGTTGGAAAATAACGACCATTAGTTGTCGAATCGACTAAAGTGATTAATTGCAATCACCAAAGTAATATTCTGATTTTCAAACCCTCTTAGCGAATGATAGTACGTTTTGTGCTGCACAAAGAATCAATCAGTTTAATTTTGGCCATTACTAGCATAGTAGGTTATTGATGGTAGATAAATGCTCATGTACCACACCTCATTTTATGTATGTTATTACCAAAGAAAAGAGATGTCGGTCAGTCACTCAATAGTGTAACAAAGTGGGGTCTAGAATTAGGTAACGGTTTCCTCAATTCCTTGCATAATAATTGAATAATATGACACTGCTAATGTTTAAAATTCACAGATCTAGGACATACATGACATATTCATAATTTCTGCAAAGTTCTACAGAATTTGATGTTGGCTGCAAAATGGACAAAGTATCTCTAAAGTTTACTATTAAGTGTTTATTAAACTTTTGAAAACATGTGTTGAAATTAAAATCAGTCCAAATGGTCGGAAGCAATATCCAATTGGTAATGACATCATCGAATTCTGTTGAATGACTCCTCTTTAAAGTGTATTCATAATGATGTTGACAATAATATTAATGGGGTTATTTTAATACCGCGATATGAATAGAATCAGGGCATATGCGTTACTATATGAACATTCACTTTCTAATACACACGTTAAACATTTTGTTGAAAGAACTTTGGATTTTTTTTTATAGGCCAAATTTCAATCATTCCATTCAATTTATGTTTCACCTATCGTTTCAATCGGGTCAAAGTGACACATTCCACAACTTCTGGTCTTTCCCAAACTGTCAATTTCTGCCAGTTTTATATCAATACATAATTGTATGTCATACTTATCTCTCGTTGCAAAGAATATTTAAAATGTTCTCAAAGTCAAGGGGAAAGGAAGAAGAAGAAAAAATGGAAGAACAAGAAGAACAAGAAGGAGAGAAGAAAAGGAGGACGTCAGACGTAGGGTAGAAAAAGAAACAATAGTGGTATCGACTATTTTCACTTCCAATTAGATCTGTTTTAACAAAACATATTCTCAAAACAATACGTACTGAACATAAGATATTGACATAAGATATAGCCAAGATGCACAAAACATAAACAATGTATCAGAGGAGTTTCCCTGTACTGCAGTAATACCACGATAGAATACTACCACCATTGACTCCTGCATACAGGCACGTAACTACACGTAGAGAGGTGATGCCTTCTGTCAATATATTCATACAGATAAACTCCATACTGAGTCAGCTCAAGATGGATCAGGAATGCAAGTTACTCACCAGTTTCAAAGTCTTCAATCCTCTCCAGCCTAATTCTTGATGTAAGAATTAATAATCCTAAAGCGGCGAACAACTAACAGACAGGCCTAACGTACTGCAAAAGTAGTGGTTACCCTCGAGATACTACTGTAACGAACGTACTAATGTATTCTTTGGAGATTGTTGTTGAAGCGAAATGTTGAGATGGAGAGTTAAACGCACAGTCGGGGAGAAGGTGTTCGGTTACAAGTTATTAGTCTATACTCACCAGACACAACGAACGAACTGTCATAACGGGTCAATGACTCGATGGTAATTCAAGATTCAAGATTATTTAATTGGTCCATGCATGCAAACATTACATAGAAATTTTGCTTCCAATGGCTTCTAATGAATACAGGATGTAATTCACGTTAGTGTCATTATTGTCCTAGCACCATGCACGTCGATTCTTCCACAGTTTTTTTTTTCTTCCGTTCTTGACTATTTTCTTCTTATTATTTATTTTCATTCTACAAATACTCGCAGGAAAGTGGCTTCATTATTTAAAAATTGCTTCAGCTCCTCGGCCCCCGCCACTCCGGAGGTGAAAATTTTTAAATGTATGATCGAACGTTTCCTTCGGTGTATCCAAAATAGAGATATCTACATTTTTACCGTTTTTTTACCCCCCCCCCCCTTCCCCTTAAAGAAAAAGAAAAAATCGTTTTCGCACACAGTCATTAACATAGAGTTTTGACAACTCAGTTCTTGATGGTAGCATGTTGCTATTATTTTGACCATGGATATAGTTACTATCGACTAGTGTATACCCATGGTTATGGGCAAACAAGCATCATTCAAAGCATGCAATATAGTTTTCGCTATGCTGTCTCTGGATTAGCACAAGCAGAGAGATCGAGGGACACTTTGTGAGCGCAAGACGTGCTGCCCTCTTTTGTTTACTGGCGGGACAGTTTTCTTACACGGTGGATGCTACAGGTATACACATCTTACATGATCCCAGGATCTAGGAGGGGGGGGGGGGGTTGATCGGTGGCGCCGGGCGCCGATCCGGATTTTATTCATTTATTTTTTTCACATATTTCAAAAAGGGTAGCCCAATCAGCATATACACTGGTTTTTGTAGGGGCCTTAAAATACAAACAAACTATTTACACTCCAAAATGATGATGGTGGCGGTGGTGATAGTGAGATGTTGGTGATGGTGATAGTGAGATAATGCGGATTGTCTTGAAGACGATGAAGATGATAAGATGATGGTGATAGTGATATAATGGGGATTATGATGAGGACGATGACTCATAAGATGATGATGTTGGTGATGGTGATAGTGAGATGTTGGCGATGGTGATAGTGAGATATATGGAATGGCGATGAAGACGATGAAGATGATAAGATAATGATGTCCGTGACAGGGGCATCGCCAAAGGGGGGAGGGGTGTGGGGGTGCGACACCCCCACTTGTCAGGATATTGTCGGTAAAATTGCGCTGCCGTCGGGAAAAAAAGACAAAAGGGGGAGGGGAAACAAAAGAGGGAAAGGGAAAGAAAAGAAAAAAAGAAAAGGAAA